AAAAAAAAAAAAAAAAACAACCCACATTATTTCCATAGAGGCAAACTTTTCAGTGAGGCTGAAATAAACCTAGCCTGTAAAATGTGTTTCCTTGAAATGATTTTTAAAAAGTTACACTATGAATATTCAGTTAGTTAAAAAAATGTTCATAAAAATTCCTGGAATAGTTCAGCATTATCAATATAGCATATCGAAGAGAGCTTAATGATGACATTTATCGCAGCAACCCTAAGCCATATCCATGTTTCATTTTTTTTAAAAGCATACATGAACATTTCTCTGTAGAAGGATATTTTATGCATAAAACTGTTATAAACCAAGTAATATTCTAAGTGCACTTGGCTTGGTCTGAGGGAAATTCAAGTTTGATCACCTAATGAGGACACCTCCATGATTAAAGGCCAGAAAATATCCATGATACATTAAGCCTTTTTAAAAACCTGTGAAGATACTGTCACTCCTGTCAGGAAAGTTACTTTTACACAAAAGTGACATTATAAAGTGCTCTCAAAGAAGAGGCCTAATCCAGGGGCACCTGGGTGGCTCAGTTGATTGAGCGTCGCACTTTACCTCAGGTCATGATCTCATGTCTTGTGGATTCGAGCCCTGCGTTGGGCTCTGTGCTGACAGCTGGGAGCTTGGAGCCTGCTTCAGATTCTGTGTCTCCCTCTCTCTCTCTCTGACCCTCCCTGGGCTCATGCTTTTCCTCTCCCTCTCAAAAGAGAAAAAAAAAATTAAAGAAAAAAAAAATTAAAGAAAAAAAAAAAAAAGAGAGAGGCCTAATCTGTTTAACTGTCTCCCAAACAGTGAAAGAGGTCTCAGGAGTTTCTGTACTCCAGTTACCCAGAGACTGGAAAGGTAACATGTCTATAGTGGAGGCGCCTCATATGCACGTAAAATACCAATCTGAATTGTGCTGGTATTTCTCACTCACTCCTCCCCTCAGTCCTGGATGCACAGACAGCATCTGGGAATCTCACAAAATAAGCATCGTGCTGCACTCACTAAGAGTCCAGCGTGAAGAGGTAAGTTGTTTGGCACAACATGGCCCCATAACAAAAACCACCTCCTTTGAAGAAACCACCATCCATTTTGACACAAGAAGGAGAGCTGGTCTTACGCTGTACCTTGTGGGTGATTTAAGCCATTTTTGAGGGTAATTCGAGTGTGTCACTATTTGGTACGGTTCCTTACTCCTAACTTTCAGTTAGACACTACACTGTGAGACCTGCTTTTGCATCAACAACAGAGAAAGTGGTCCTTAGTGTGGTTCTGGTTGCTGACAAAGATTCCTACTGAAACCCAGTCATGAAAGCTAAGGCTGGCTCTTGGGTCAAACTGAAACAAGAAGGGTTTACCGTATGGGGACGCAATAAGGAGGGGTCTGAAACACTGGACCTCAGTTTGTAAGAGGTGATCCCCCGAGCCTTTGACGTGGGGCCATGGATGGAGTCTAGCAGCACAAAACAGCCATTGCCACCACCTGGTTAGGCCAGCCGGGGACTCAGAACACCAGCCATCACTTGTCAACGTGGTGGGTGACGTGTGGACAGCAGGCACCGCACACGGGCGCTTACCTGACAGGGTGGAGCTGCTGATTGTACTGGCGGGAGTGGTGACCTCGGGCTCCTCGTGCAGGTCTCTGGGGCAGGGAGCACCTTCATCTTTTTCTGCCTCTGTTGAAATAGCCAGTTTGGGAAGTGGGCCAGAACTGAGTTTATGTCTGTTGCTTTCAGTATCTGAAGAGTTGGATGTGGATAACTGTTGCCTTAATTAAAAACAAAACAAAGTCATGTATACATACATACTAGGAAACGGTGTTCAAGGAGAATTTTGGAGGAAATTAGGTAAAAACGGAACTTGGATACACCCAACCAACACATGTCTAGCACAGTGGTTCTTACAGTGTGGTCCCTGGGCCAGTAGCAAGAGCATCTCCTGGAACTTATTACAAAGCCTCCATCCCAGATCTAGTGGATCACACACGCTGGAATGGGCCCAGCAACCTGTGTTTTTACAGGGCTTCTGGGACATTCTGATGCACACTCAAGCTTAAGAATCACTGCTCTAGCAGCAACTGCACATGACCCTTCTTAACAGACATTTCACATACATTTCCGAATATTCTGAACTCCAGCTGAATGTTTCTGTGGATGGCAATGTTGTGCTTTTGGTTTTGTCTCCAGGCTCTTCCTTCTCTTCTCCTGGATTCTGAGTTATTCGGTCTATGCTGCTGAAAACCTGCGAGGTGAAGCATTAGGGTTTATTAATATCTTTTTGAAAGAGTCTGTCATAGGGGCGCCTGGGTGGCGCAGTCGGTTAAGCGTCCGACTTCAGCCAGGTCACGATCTCGCGGTCAGTGAGTTCGAGCCCCGCATCAGGCTCTGGGCTGATGGCTCAGAGCCTGGAGCCTGTTTCCGATTCTGTGTCTCCCTCTCTCTCTGCCCCTCCCCATTCATGCTCTGTCTCTCTCTGTCCCAAAAATAAATAAATGTTGAAAAAAAAAAAAAAAAAAAAAAAAAAAAAAAAAAAAAAAAAACACCAACCCCTGGGAGTAAAGCCCAAGAGTATGACTAAAGTTTCAGCTGGAACCGTGTATTTAGGAGGTACTTTCCGATACTGTTTACTTGAGTCCTGAGATATATGGTCAATGTATGTATTTTTTTTTTCTTCTTGGAGCAAAAGCTATGAATTCATCACCCTCTCGCCCTGTCTTGTTATGGACTTTGTATCTGCAAACAAAATCCATAGACGCGTTGGGGTTTCTAGGCCGGGGGATCAATGCACACCTTAGATTACTTTTTAACCATGATGTCTATCAGATAAAGAAAATCACAGAGAGAAAGCTTTAATGGCCACCCGTCAGGGGTGGGAAGGAGAATAACGAATTGGAATTGAGTGCAAACAGAAGAATAAATTACCTGGTTCAAGAAGTGTGTGGGGGGATGCAGTACGTATGTGGTTATGAGTCAGAGGTCTCTGGCTTATAAATCACATATACAGACACGCAGCTTGGCACTGGCATTTCTGAAAGGGATCAGAGCTCAGGCAAGCCTGAGACCTCTGTGGTCCCACAGGAAAGGTGGAAGGGAAAATACAGAGCTGGGAGCCCAGTGCAGGAAGCAATCCTTACCGTGCCATGCAGCCACTCACTGCTCTCATGGGTGGGGTGCCCTTAGATGGCCCATTGGTCTACTAGGGTGAGGACCAGGCTGGCTAACCAACAGAAGACAACAGGAAGGAAATGGAGTCCAGGGCCTGGCTTGGATGGGCCAGAGAAGAGGCACTGGGGAAAGCCTGCACTCAGTGTGATCAAAGCTTCAGTGCTGGCTCTGGGTAGGCCGGCCACCACCTCCTCCGGGGAAACCTCACCTCTCCATGGCCTTCCTATAAACAGGGCGGTCAGTGCCAGCCCACATGCAGATGTGCTGTATCTAGGGAGCCACATAGAAAAAGGTATGAACACTTTATCAACCCTATGTGTTATAGAAAAGCTGAACATCATCATGCAAAATGCCATGGCAACAGAAAATGCATAGCTACTGAAAATATCACAAGGGAGGCAGGCAGGGGGCCCTTTAGGTTTGTTTCCATTTTCCTAGGGCTCTTCCAGTCTCAGGACTATCCGGTTTCTTCGTTTTATTTGCCTGTGTGTGTGTGTGTGTGTGTGTGTGTGTGTGTGTGTGTGTGTTTTAATCTTACCACTATCAGTAAAAAGCATCCATTTCAGACATTGATTTTATTACCTTCTCCCACTTCCAAAATTCGAGCTTGGCTTCCTACAGGCTTTTTCATATAACTTATGTTCTCTGTCATCGGTTACCAGACTTTCTTATTCTGCATCAACTAATCCCCAAGGGTCCTACCTGATGTCAGGGACTCAGACTGCTCCTTTGTGTTGTATTCCATGTGATACTAGGAGGGGGCTATGCACACAATGACCTCAAGCTCAATGTTCTTCATTAAAAGATGAGAGAGGAGAGCCTAGGTGGTTCAGTTGGTTAAGCGTCCAACTCTTGATTTTGGCTCAGATCATGGACTCAGTTTGTGAGATCGAGGCCTGCTGTCAGGCTGTGCACTGTTGGAGGCTGTTTGGGAATCTCTCCCTCTCTCTCTGCCCCTCCCCCGCACATGCTCTTTCTCTCTCTGTCAAACCAAATAAACAAACAAACAAACAAACAAAAAGGGTCAGAGAAAGGGGAGGATGCCTCCACAGTCTGGCAATGAACTAAACCTAGTCACACAGGGTGAGGTCAACATATATGGCTCTCGTGTTCTCCATAGATAATACTGTGAGTGCAAGTCTGCGTCTCCAAGAAAAAAGATATCCATTTGTGGAGAGTGAGACAGGCAGGTAGGGACTCTGGATTATCCAGATGGTGGGGTCACTGTTCCTAGGCTAAAAGGAATTTTAAGCACAGGAGACCCCAAGCACTAAAACACTACAGAGGTGATTTTTACAATCTTGTTCGCCTATTTAGAAATGCCAACTATCTGGCCTGAGGGAGATTCTCCAGAAAGACTCTGTAGGTTTCTGCCATATTTCACTTACTTTTGAAAACCTGTGTGAACAGGAGGAAAACTGCCTTATTTCCACAGTAAAGTCTTCATCATTTGTGTCATCTTCTTCCTCAGTCTCCATGTGATGATATTTCTCTGACCGAGCTGCAGAGAAATATTTGGTAACAGTTCCAATCACTCAGAATTTCAGCTTTTAATTTAGATATGTTACTAAGAGTTTCTATATCAAAGCATTATGTTTAAGAACTCATAGGCTCGGGGCGCCTGGGTGGCTCAGTTGCTTAAGCATCCGACTTCAGCTCGGGTCATGATCTCACGGTCCGTGAGTTCAAACCCCGCGTCGGGCTCTGTGCTGACAGCTCAGAGCCTGGAGCCTGTTTCGGATTCTGTGTCTCCCTCTCTCTCTGACCCTCCCCCGTTCATGCTCTGTCTCTGTCTCAAAAATAAATAAATGTTAAAAAAAAAAAAAAAAGAACTCGTAGGCTCAAGACTAGAAACTTCTATCACGAGCAGAGATAATTTTCTACAAAGTAAAGGTCAAACAACGTTTTATGTCAGATAATTCACGTACTATCAAAATAACTTGTGTCATCCTCAGATTCCAGTTGGGGAATAAATTCTGCCTTCTGTCTCAGCAAACTGTTCCAGTCTAAAGAACGGAAGAATCGATGCTGTTTGACTTCATAGGCGCCACCTTGGGGTGCAGAGGAGAGGGAAAGAACAGAGAGGAAAATATTAAACTACCCTCACAGCAAAGCTTTTGACAACACCTCCCCCTGCCAACACTTCAAATCAATAGAGAAACAAATTAAAGAATCATGCAAATCTTACTTTTTCATTCTACAACAACCCCTCCCAACCCAAATTTTCCCATAATTCATCGGAAGACGATTTGATTTTGCTAACA